AGGGTAAAAGGGAAGTGGGACGCCCTGACATGATACAGCATGACTAACATAACCCTTTTAAACCTAACTGTACACGGCGGCTGACGCAGCTGGTTAACTGGAATCCAAAGATTTGGTGAGTAATTTGAATATAATGCATGCCAACTTACTAACATGATTTTCACACCCACAGACCCGTTGGCATTTCTGAATTATAATTACAGCTTACTGCATGGATGGTTTCACACATGAAAATACATTTCATACTTAACATACTGCTCAAGAATGAGCATGTTGGTGCAAAAGGATGTGTCAAACTGACAGGAGTGGGAAAATTCTAAAGGAGTGAAATGAAAGTCCTGGTATGAAACATAAAGTATTATCAGTGCAAAGTTTTTGAATCTCCACATGACTTGTATAGGAGTGGACATGTTTCCACTTATATTCTTTTTATATTTTTTAATCTTGTCTCCTTCAAAAGATCTCTTGTAAAACCTTTTTTTAAAAGGAGCTCAGACCGGCATCCTCAGTATGTCTGTCTCCTGAGATGTAAAAGCAACTCTCACACACAAGATGGAGCTGAAGTCAACCTTTATTAAGTCCCCCAACATCTTACATCATGTTGATGAGCAGGTGATAAACCCTTTGAATGTCTGTTTGCTTTTAGCAAGATGTGCAATGATTCAAAAAGTGCATTTGTGTCAAATGTTGTGGATTTTGTCTTTTATTTACAAACATCCATCTTCAATAAATACACCTTTAAGAGTTGTGCCATTGTTTTTTAATCAAACATTCATAGCTAAACAAATGACACACCTCATTGGTCCATGTTGTACACTTTGCTCATTTTGTGCACGCAACAAGTCTCTCATCAAAGAATGAAAGCAGCAAAACACACCAAAAATGACACAACATATGTGATAGGAAAATAAAACACACACACATATATATATATATATATATATATATATATATATATATACGCGCACACAGGAGGGCACTGTGTAATCTGTTAAGTCTTCTGGACCTACTGGCCTGCTTCCTAAGGGCTCTCTGCCCTCCTGTTCACTTCCCTACGGTGGAGGATCCTCTCACTACTGTCACTTCAAAGCCGTTACTCAACACTTCAGCACCATGCAAAACCTGTACGCAGATAGGCTCTTGCGTTCCCTTTTTTTGTAATTCTTATAAAATGTAGTGCTGCTTTATTTGTTCTTTTGGCCCACACAAAAAAAAAAAAAAATCACAGGCTTAACACTGAGCCCATGTCATCAAGACAGTAAAATGGAGTGAACTTTACACCGTACTGACGAGCATCCCGATGAGGGATGTTTAAACCCAGTGATTTTTAGAGTGTGTCACTGCGATGAAGTTAATAATACAGACTTCCCTGTCATTAAACTTAATAAAGAAAATTGTTGTTCGATGCCATAAGACAGTTTAAGTCTTAAAAGTCTCTTTTAAAAACAAGAGCCTGTTTTGCCCATTTTAGTATTCTGAATAAAAAAGCAGTTTCTCGTGGTACATATAAAGCTAGTGTTACCTCTTTGTGCTGAGGTGCTAAGGATATAGCTGCCCAACACAAATTTTAACGCAGAATTTGCAGTACATTAAGATGAAGCAAACAGCAGTCAGTGCAAATGATGCATATTTTTAAGCTCTAAAATATTTTTAAAACATCTAATCTTCAATCCTTATTATTGCAGGGATTTTTAGCGTGAGAAAATAAAATAAAACCTCATTACCACATTTATTTCACAAGTGTTCACTAGTACACCGACTCCTGCAGCAGGGCTGTTGTGTTTAAGCCAGACCCACCATGGAAGCACTGAGGTCCCACAGCTTCTTGGCTGCAGCATCGTCCAGGGCCTGTGGGGCTGCAGTTTTAGGAGCACAATCACTGCACGATGGAAGAAATGAAAAATAGAAAAAGGTAAGAAAAGTCGGAAACAGTTTGGTCGAAGCTGAATTGCAAATGGGTCAACAGTAACTTGTGTACTAAACCATAAACAATTATGAAATGCATTAAACATTACTCAAGGAACAAAGTCGTTCTTCATAGAGAGATGCAGCAGGGGCACGTACCTGTAGTAAAGGCCACTGTCATTAGCCACGCTCTCATCCACAGCGCAGTAGATGGTCGTCTGAGCTCCTTCCCAGGGACTTTTGATCATCATTAAAAATGGCATGATTATGCTCTTCTTCCACAGGGCTAAAGTTGGGAACAGATGGCGACTTAACTCAGTCCTGATGACCCCCAGGGTGCAGGCTGTACGCTGTCACACCCGTGCCTAAAAAAAAAAGAAAAGAGAGTTCCATTAAAAAGTGAATTACAATGCATGAAACATCACAGTACTATTGACAATGTGAGGTGATTATCTCCATTGTCTCTACCCCTTATGATGTATCTGATTAATTACAACATGCATTAAAAGGTGTTGATAAACTGTTTTTAGAGGGGTGAAACTTGCTTTGGACAGTACCTTGCAGTCTTGCAGCCAGTTCTCTGCAGAAGAGCACATTGGCCAGCTTGCTCTGGCGATAGCTCCCCTCACGCTTGTAGTCTTTATCAAGATTGATGTCATCAAAGTGAATATGGCCTGTCAGAGAAATAAGCCAGTGTAACATTTAAGCAGAAATCTAGTTTTATCTGTCATGAAATGCAACAGTGAAACAATCTTTCATCATCAGGGACTGAAGAGAACACTTACAAGACACTATTTAAAAACTAGCTGGTGTGTTTGTTTAAGATGAAGACGATTCACTTTACCTTTCTCGTGTGCCAGGCTGGAGACGATCACAACGCGACTAGGAGTTGACTTCTTCAGCAGGTCAAGAAGACAGTTGGTGAGGAGAAAATGTCCCAGGTGGTTCACACCAAACTGCATTTCAAAGCCGTCCTCAGTCGTCCACTTAGGACACATCATGATGCCTAACAATTGACAAATACACTATTGCATATAAAGGCTTTTTTGGCCATCGTTACCTGACCACTAAAAGGAGGTCACCATTGTTCAAACAGTTTGGAGAGGATCATTCTAATCAATACAGCCAGTTGAAACACATCGATGCAGTTTCATTCTACTGACCTTCATCCTGAGTATTTTGTGCAGCTCTGATGTGTTATCAAATGTGCAAAGTGCTTTAATAATCAAAGCCCTCCCTACACATTCTGCTTGCACCTATTTGTATGACATTGCAATTTTGTTGTTGTTGCTGAGGTTTCAGTTTTTCACTGCTGTCTGTCTGAGAGAGACTGCTGCAACACACCTGCATTGTTGATGAGGATATCCAGCCGGTCCTCATTCTCCTGAACTTCTTTGGCCAGGTCTCTGACAGACTGCAGTGAAGCCAGGTCCAGTTTCTTCACCACCACGTTGCCATTCCCACTCCGCAGTCTGATCTCGTCAGCTGCAATGCGAGCCCTGGTAATGTCTCTGCAGGCTAGGATCACTCTGGCTCCTACACAGAGGAAGAACCAGTACCAAGGTATTCAAATGTGAAGTGCTACATGGTATCAACAAAAAAAATCGAAACACTTATATAGCAATCTATGAGAATATCACCTCGCTGGGCCATATCCATGGGCCGTCTCCTTCCCAATGCCAGTGTTGGCTCCAGTGATCAGGACTGTTTTCCCATCAAGCCTGACCTTGCTCCGACACACACCCCCAGCCAGCCACCGACGCAAGGCCAGTACACCTGCCCCTGATAGGAAGGAAATGTTTTCATTCTACTCATCTGTTTGTGCTCTTGTGTGATTCATTGGTGGCTAAAACAAACTCACTTACAGGAGAATAAGAAATCAAATTAAACAATTCTGCTAAAGAGATTTAAGAATTGGCTTACAGTCCAAAGAGATTAGGACTAGTCATGACTGTAAGCTTCACTGTTCTGTAAAGTCACTATTCAACCGACAGTCTGATATGACACACTTTTGAATGCATGCTTTAAAAAAAGAGATAAAGATTTTAAGTTATGTACTTCTGCAAACTGAGCAGCTGTCATAACAAATCCAAGTGTCAGAATGGAGCAATGCTTTGAATACAGATGTCACACTTCTTCTCAGTCGAGATATCAGATGAAGTAAGATGACATTAAAACATCGCGGAAATACTTTGTACTTGTTCAAAGGTTAACTAACCTGCAAAAACAGCAACAGTGAGACCGGTCGCATGTCTCTCTACAAAGTCCCGGGCCACCTGTGCGTAGTTCTGCATGTTGAAGGCTGTAAACGAGTTATACGACTTCAAGCTTTGGTGGAAAGATTATCACCAAATTAAAGTTCAAAATCTGACAAACTGTAAATATAATGTATGAGTAAACAGTTCACGAGACAAGACACCACAATACTGTGACACCCTAAACCCACAATGTTTTACTTTTCCGTGTTTTAGTAAAGACGAGGCTGTGACCAGAAAGTGAGGGCGTGGCCTGCACCGGCAGACATTTTCAGAATAAGACTCTTGATTTGATTCTCATAATCACTTAGGAACTGTAATAATAATAAAAAATAATGATGATCATGATAATGATGATAATAAAGCAGGGAGGCTTTACACAAGATGTTTTATCTTATTTAAATTTATTTGATAATCAAAATGATCTGAATACTTTCTTAGCTATGGATTCTGTCTTTTGTGCAGTCAAGACTAAAATTTAATGTTGAGCTGAATCCGTGTGTGTGTGTGTGTGTGTGTGTGTGTGTGTGTGTGTGTGTGTGTGTGTGTGTGTGTGTGTGTGTGTGTGTGTGTGTGGAGGAGGAGGGGGGCGACTGTGACTAATTTATTTTAAAAGTTTGGGTTTATTTTGAAAACAGGAAGTTCACCACTGGACGCAAAGCAGACCTACTGCGATTAATCATGTTATGGCTGTCTGATAAGTATTTATAAATGTATCTTTAAATGTGCTTATGTAAGCTATCTATGACCCGATTAAAAGTTATACGTTTAGTTTCCGCGAAGAAAAAAAAAAAAAAAAGGACTACAAAAATACCGGAAGTCTGCTGTGCTGGTGCCACGTCAGAGCTACAGCACTGTCATCACCAAAGCTACACTGGTCTGTTCTGCTCTGGTTCTGCTGAAGCTTTAAGTGTTCATCATGCTGTACCTGGGTCTGAGCTGTTTGCTGCTACATGTGTTAGTGGTGTTTGGGACCGAGCTCACCTTTGAGCTCCCTGACAACGAAAAGGAGTGTTTCTACGAGGAGCTGGAGAAAGATGTGAGATTTGACTTCGACTTCCAAGTAAGTTGAAACACTCTTCCCTTTTACTCTGTGCCTGCAATATGCTGCAAAAGTTATTCTTTCACTAGTGATACTGACTCGTTTTAATGGCGTGTTAATGTGTCTTGTTCTTGGAAAGGAGGAAAATGCACAAGAGTTTGTAGTTTTTCACATTATTTAAAACTACAACTGTTTTGAATTGAGGTGCACATTTGATAACTTCATCATCCTGTCGTTTTACAATAATCTTCTAAACTTCATTGTCGGGACTTTTTTTTTCTTATTCACCCAATTATTTTCTTCAGAGCGAGTTTGAGTCAGTTCAGCAATACACAATCCAAATGATACAGCTGTAACATATGTTACCTCACATGTCTCTGTTTACACTCTTCATCCTCAATCATCAGCCTCATCAAGTCTTTAATGTGTTTTTTTTCTCCATATAGGTCATCTCAGGAGGAAATTATGATGTGGACTGCTTCGTAATTGATCCTCTGGACAACGTCCTGTATAATGAGAAGAAGAAGCAGTATGACAGCTTCTCTCACACCACGGATATGAAGGGCGTCTACAAGGTCTGCTTCAGCAATGAGTTCTCCACTTTCACAGATAAAACTGTGTACCTCGACTTCCGCCATGGAGATGAGGAGCCTCTCCTGGAGAGCATGACTAGATCTTCAGCGCTGACACAGGTAAGTCTGAGGTACACAGGAGAAATGAAATGTGCTCACATCATGTTAAGAGAAAAATAAAATGTGTCGTCAAAATGATCAAACCAGGGCTTTGGTTTGTATCCCACTGACTTGCTGCTGAATACTCTATTTATTACTGTATTTCAGTTTCTAATCCCTTTTTAAATACTTCTGGTGTGCAGACAAAAGGTAAAAATATATAGACTAAAGTAAAACCATGATATATAGTTCCCCCCTTTCTTTCTTTTTTTTTTATTTTGGGGCTTTTTGTGCCTTTTATTGGAGAGATAGGACAATGGATAGAGATGGAAATCAGGGAGAGAGAGAGAGCGGGGATTGAAAGGAGCTACAAGTTGGATTCAAACCTGGGCCACCTGCTTGGAGGACTAAAGCCTCCATGCATGGGACGCGCGCACTACCCACTGCGCCACCAGCGCCCCATAGTTCCCCTTTTTAAGATCAGTACCACTCTGAGTGAGTTGCATTTAAGTGAGGCTACTCTGTTGATGAAGTGGTAACAAGTGCAGCAATGACAGTTCAGAAGTGACACAGTTCACATAAAGTCCACTAGGTGAAGCTAGAGCTGTTGAATGGCTTTTTGTTGTTGTTGCAAGTCTTTGAATATGCTCTACATATTCCACAGCAGGTCAACACGCAGCTGAAGTTTACAGAAAATAGAAATATATAAATTCTGGCCATTTAGATGTTCTGAGACATGTGAGGACGATGTTGAGGTGCAGTCCAGAGAATATGATTTAATTCTGTGTATGTGTTTCTCATCCTCCACTATAAGTCACCTCAGGCTGTCACCATGCTCTTGTTGAATCTGTGTTTATTTTTTTTTTACTACTTTCAGATGGAGTCCTCTTGTGTCTCCCTCCATGAGATCCTGAATTCGGTGGCTGAGTCTCAGACATGGTACAGGTTAAGAGAGGCTCATGACCGCATTAAAGCGGAGCACCTCCTCGAGCGAGTGAGCTACTGGTCCATTGGAGAAACCATCCTGCTGTTTGTCATCGGCATCGGACAAGTGATCATGCTCAGAAGCTTCTTCAGTGACAAGAAAGGCTCGTTGGCAGCCACTACTTAGAGTTTGTAGTCCTGGTTTGCTTTGTTGGTATGAACACTTAAATGCTTCTGGAGATCATCTTGTTGAAGTTTAAGTAAACTTTTTATTAGGAGGATAGTTCAGGAAGTTTTCTTTATTTTATTTTGCCCCGTGTCAATTTGAGAGACAAATGATTGCCTTTTTCATGTCTTTATATTTACAGTTGTAAACTACAGTAGCTTTACTGTAAAGAAGAACCGCTGATATTTTTGTTGAAATGGAGATTGACACATGTCAACCTTGCACTTAATATTAATTTATTTAAAAAAAAAAAAACAACAACAACATAAAGCAGCTTAAGTTAGATCTGTTTATGACCTGGATGCCTTATTAAACAACAGCCATTGGTACCGGCAATTACACAGAAAGTTGTGGCACACTGATAGAATCTAAGTATGTTTTGTTTCTGAATGTGAGTGATATTTGTTACTGTGGGTTATGTTTGTTACTAGTAGGCTACCTTTGTTTATGTGACAAAGTAGTTGAAAGCGCTGTCTGCCTGATGTGTCTCATACAAAGTGCCTGATCAAATCATTTGGATTTCCCTTCAAGCTCAAAGTTGACTGTTCAATAGAATTTCTACTTCACCATCCCATTGTTACTGATTGATTGTATTCTTTTCCATTAAGTTGTGAATTTGAGTCCATGATATTTCTTATTGAGATACATCGAGTGGCTTATACAGTAAATATCCTTTTTTTACAAGAAAGTTTTGTTGTCGGTGCTTTTTGTTTATCTGTCCATTTATTTATCTTTATAACCTGACCACAGAATTAAGCAGACTTTGGTTGAAAGTACCTTTTAGTGAAGGTGCAAATATTATTTATTTACATTTCCAGATAAGGACTTGATTTTGCCCTCTTTTTTTTTAACTTGGCGGTCAGTGTATTTACATAGATATTCAGATTGGTTTTAGGTGAAACCAGTTGTATTTATTGTAGTGAGAAACTTAAGACTACTATGAAGCAGTTGTTGGTATATGCTTTAGGTGCTTTCTAATTGGCAGCTGAACCACACATAACACATATAAAAAAACTATTTATGGCTGTTTAGATCCCTTTAGAAGACAAAGTGCCTAGTGTATGCAAATCCAATACTGTATGTCCTACATCCTAAATGTAGGCCTGGTTTCTCTAGAGGACTAAAACGTTTTGAGGTTTAATCCAGAAATTATCCATGCTTTTAATTTCTTAGATCTTTTTTCATATTTAGTGGAATGTGAAGACACCCTACCTCACAAGAATTATGACTTCAATATAAATGTCTTCACATGTCAAAATGATTCACTTCAATATAGGTTCCAAATGTGTACAAAGGGAAGAATGGGGATTGGCCATATAAAGTAAATATTTGGAAATCCCTGAGCACACAAGGTAAGGGGGAATGGTAGTTAATGACGGCTGATTAAGAGAAATTTCATGGCAATTGGATACCTGAAATCAAGATTAATTATGATTTCAACACATTTGGGAATAAAACAAGACAAAGTAAATTATTAGAGTCCCTCAACACTAGAGTCCTTCCTAAAATAGTAAAATATTGAAATGGAAAATGGCAGTGTGGAATTGAAGCAATAGAAATAGTAAGGAAAACAAAATGATTACAAATGTTAACTGGAGATTGAACTAACCTAATATATGGTGAGCATATTTTGACTCAAGATCGACAAGGAAAAAGTTAATATACATGAAAAATGTGTAAATAAGTGACAGATCTTATGTAACGTCTTGCAGGAGTGGGTAGGGCAGCTGATAGGCCCATTGCACAACTATTGTTCGCCTATTTACTCTTCCTTCAGAGGTGTCCCATAAAAGTCAGAAAATATTGGCAATGCAAGAATGAATAAAAGGGAGCAGCACTGGGATCGAGAGATATGGAGAAGACATGTAGCCTAAACTCAGTTTATAGTGAATATATGGTGGATTAATGGTGGAACCACAAAGCGGTCATATTAACCTAATTAATCATATTAACAGGAGAAACTTAAAAGAACAGTTTAATAGGGGATCTTCCAATTGGTTGCCTATTGTGTTGAAAAATAGAGCTAATTTCTTGCCAGGAAATTCATATTAGACACATTAAAATAATGAGCACACTGTAGTCTGGTGAAAGAGGGAAAGACAGAACATTTATGGTCAGTTTGATTAGTGGGAAAAAGCAATAATCAAACTGACCCGTAGGCGTTATTTACCTCCACAAGATGGCAGTAATGAAAAAGTAAAGATTACAACCAAAGCTCAAAGAAGAAGAGTGTCCTGTACAGTGTACCGGTTGGCTCCTGGTTCATTCATACGGAAAGTCTTCGTGGTCGTGAACGTAAACATCAACCTGTAGTAAACATGGCGGGTTACTTAAAGGCTGTGAGCTGCATGTCCAGAGCAGTGTCTCTGTCTCGAAACCCCGCGGTGCTCTCACCGGCCTCCGTCTGCCTCCTCACACCACACCACAGAAACTGTAAGTCTGCCGTCGACTCAACCAACATATGACTCACATGACTTAAAAGAGCACAACATTTACTGTGTGGTTCTCGACATTATAATGTTGTCACCTGACTGTGTGTAACGCAGTGTGAACAGAGAAGTGTTATCTGAAGGACTCTGAAACAGTAGGAAACAGTGAAAGACTGTAGGAAGTCTATGTGGCTGATTGGCAATTTGCCAACACTGAATCACTCTTTAAAGAAAGAGTGTAGATGTAAAAAAACATGTAAAACAACAAATCTAAGAAATAGGTTACATCTTGAGGAGCACTTTGTTGAGAACTCCACAGAAGAGATGACTGATGTTTTGGTGAATATGTAGCCTACTTCTTGTTATAAAGAAAGTAATGAAGCTGGTGCCCACGTGAGCCCACGTGTTGTCAGGTACAGAAAGGTAATTACTGCTATCAAAGCTGACACACAATCCCAAGGTCACAATCTCTTGTAGTTTAACCGCCTCAGCAGGACTGTGCCCTGATACTGCCTTGTCCCGAGTAATTAGACTGTGGAGGCTAAATATCAAATATCAGAATGAGTGTACTTCAGTTTTCTCTACTAATCTCTTTACAGAAGAAGAAGAATGAGCAGAAGGTTTCCTTAACGAGGGGAAATCACTTTTACACTCTGTTAGACAAACACAGGCTGTGATACAGGCTGCTATAGACTTGGTCAGAGAGCGAGGGGGCTCCACATGAATGATGTTACCGAGCAGTTGGGGGTTTCTGTGCCTTGCTCAAGGGTACCTCGGCAGTGCTCTGGAAGTGACCTACAGATTCATTTCTAGACTTGGTCCACACTGGGACTTGAACCTGTGACCCTCCAGTTTCCAACCCACGCCCTTTATACCGAGCCACTGCTGCCAAATTAATAAACCTTATCAATTAATTCAAATTCAATGGAAATATTTTAGTTTTGTACACTCACATTTTTCCTGCTTAAAATGATGATTTACTAAAGAAATTGACAACCACAACAAGAAGTGGCAGCTTAAACATTAAACATATATAGTTTCCCTTGACAATGAGGACTGAGGAAAACAACAAAAGTTAAATGGTATGACTATGTCAGGCTCATGTATGATAAAGATTCATGTTTATTCCATAAAAAGAGTAACCTACAAAATAAAAAAGAGGGTTAGGCTCATAGTTTTTAAGATTAAACTGCATAACAAAAAATGAATGTGTAAAATAAAGGTTTGTTTTTATTTATTATTTAACACTAGGAAGACCAAGGCAGTCATTTTGACTGTTTTTTTAATTTTGCAATGTAATAACTTACTTAAAATAAAACCTATGTAACTACAGGACCATGACTTTTCCTAAATGTGTCTATATTTTATTCTAGCATTGTTATTTTATCAAAAACACAAAAGAGTTTTGAGTATTTCTACCTTGAAAGTCCATAGCGGGCATATTGACTGCATGTATTATAGCCAGTGTATCATTTCGGTATTCCCTACTTTTTCCCACTCTTGAAGGTAGAGGTGGGTGATATGGGAAAAATATCATATCATGATTTGTTTGGGGCAAGATCACGATTTTATCACAATTTTTTTCATACTGTTCTTTAGACAAACTTGTAAGTTGCTGACCTGTTCAACCAAACTTATTTCCCTGTATAATGTTTTTAAATGCACAAAAACTGTGCTGACAAGTTTAATCTGTTTGAAAAACATCTTTGTATCTTTAGCAACAGAAATGTCTTTCCCTCAATTTGATCAACATTTATGCACAATTTGAAGGTTTTCCTCACCACTTTGAAATTATGATTTAGTTCTGTGTCCTCTTTTTATGTTCATCAGGAACATTTTCACGCAGTGATGCATTCATTTAAAAACATGTAGACTTCAAGTTCTTGTGTTCCTGTTCTATTTTAGCCCTGCAGAGTTCCTCCAGCTGGAGCTTCATACAGGCTCTGCAGTGTTTGTTGTTTTTTATGACATCATTGGACTAACTTTAGTTTAGTTTATATATAATCAATCATAATACAGAATGTGTTCATTCTGTGACACATGATCAAAGTAAGTTTTGCTGACAGAAGAGTTTAATTCATAGAGGGGGCGGGACATTGTTGATTGACAGACAGACAGTCGTATATCTCTCATCACTGTCTGTCTGAGCTGCGCCCTGTCTGTCTCTGACTGTTAACGTCTCTCTGAGGTCGCTATCTGAGATGTAAATTTAACTCTGCAAACTATGCAGATAAGTTAACTGTTGCTCACAGCGTGTCGGTTTGGAAAACTATCAGAACAGTTGCACATAACCGAGATGGAGTTGTTTTTGCGGACTTTACTTTTGAGTTTCGTTTTCACCGCGGCGGCGCAGACGGGGAGGGGGAGACGCGTCTGTGTTGGAGCGTAAACTGCAGCATGATAGAATAAACACATTAGCCCGGTTCTACGATCTCCCTGCTTTGGGAGATCGTCAGCAAGTTAAAATCCTTCACGATCTAAGATCGTTATATCGCCCACCCCTACTTGAAGGTGTGCATCGCTGTTGCCTAGCAACTATTGTTTATAACGCTCAAGCCAAGGAGGAAAGAAAGCTTACCCGTCTAAAACCATATAGAAAGAATAGGAGACATACATTTGAATTAATCAACATTGAAAAGGCAGACATGAGTAAATTAGGATCTGATTTAGAACAGAGTAGAACGAAATGTCAGGAAGGAGGAGGATTGCTGCCACAGAGGCTCCAGAGCCTTGATGAGGCAGAGTCTGATGGAGGCGCAGGTTCAGATACGGAAGGTGATGTCTCCTGGTCTCTCGAAACTTCACCTGACTCTGGCTCTGAGATTGAACCTGAGAATGATACAGAGATCATTGCTATTCGCAAAAAACGCCGGCTGCTGTTTCCTAGTTGTCGATAAACTATTCCAATTTCAAATTCATTAGAATTTAATGTTTGTGTCCTGAAGTTTATTATACCTTTCACGACATTACAGATCCATTTATTCTTATATTTGATATTGATTATTGAAATGATTATGCAAAAAATTTGTAAACAGCCAAAATGACCGCTATGGTCTTTCTAGTAGTGATAGAATGCCGGTCGTTCTAGTGTTAACAGATATTAAAGGGAAAAAGGGTCACAACTCGATTTTATAATCTTATTTATGTTTAACTGTATTAACCAACTGTAGCCACTGCGATGCATTTTAATAAATTAACTACGACATAGTCACAAAGTCTAATGGACTTTTATTCTGTATAATCACAGTTCTGTTTGTTTTATGGTAAAACTTGTCCATTGATGAACAATATAAAGCATGTTGGATAATTTAAAGGTTCATTTTACAGATGCCACCAAGCGCATCAAGGTGGAGCAGCCGGTGGTGGAGATGGACGGAGACGAGATGACCCGCATTATCTGGGAGTTCATTAAAGAGAAGGTAGAGACAAGTCAAGCTTGTCAAGGAAAAATAAATCTGATAGAAGCCTTTTATTTTGAAAGGCTATAAGTTGGTTGTATTCAGAATCAAAATGGGCTGTAATTATTAGTTAAGATGTTTTGTCCACATCTTGTACATCTACAGCTCATCTTGCCCAATGTGGATGTTGAGCTGAAGTATTTTGATCTGGGTCTGCCCTACCGGGACCAGACAGATGACCAGGTCACCATTGACTCTGCTCTGGCAACCATGAAATACAACGTGGCTGTGAAGTGTGCCACCATCACCCCTGATGAGGCCAGAGTTGAGGGTAAGTTTGACAAATGCTGTTCTATTTATATGCTGAATTTGCTACTTTCTCGAATTTAAACCACAAATAATGAAAGCATTACATTTTTAACCAATAGCATCGTACAGTAAGTATCAGTTGTATGGATGTGAATGTCGATTTTTCTTTCTTTCAGAGTTTAAGCTAAAGAATATGTGGAAGAGTCCAAACGGCACCATCAGGAACATCCTGGGTGGGACAGTTTTCCGCGAGCCGATCCTTTGTAAAAATATCCCTCGTCTTGTTCCCGGTTGGATACAACCCATAGTCATCGGCAGACATGCTTTTGGAGATCAGGTAAGAAATGTAAATGTGAGTTCGTGCTTTTTTCCAAAGATGCTTTTGAACGGAGTTTAGAAAAGTCTCACATGCCAGTTTTGATGTATAATCTCAAAGTACAGGGCCACAGACTTTGTTGTCGACCAGCCTGGAAAGTTCAAGATGGTGTTTTCCCCGAATGATGGTAGCAAGCCGAGGGAGTGGGTGGTGTATGACTTCCCTGCAGGAGGCTGCGGGATGGGAATGTACAACACTGATGAGGTAATAATGAGTGTGGTTATAGATTTATTTACATGAATTGAGTTCTATTTTTTTTAGATAAAAACGTAGTGATATGGTTTGTAATCTTCTCTGCACACAGTCGATCAGTGGATTTGCTCACAGCTGCTTCGAGTATGCCATCCAGAAGAAGTGGCCTCTGTACATGAGCACCAAGAACACAATCCTCAAGTCCTACGACGGGCGCTTCAAAGACATCTTCCAGGACATCTTTGAGAAGTTAGATACTAAACAGTGGATAAACAATGTACCATCTTCATTAAGTGATACAGGTTAATAAGTTAAGCTTTTTCATTATCCTCTATTTTTCAGGAAGTACAAGCCAGAGTTTGACAAGCTAAAGATCTGGTACGAGCACCGTCTCATTGATGACATGGTGGCCCAGGTCTTGAAGTCCTCTGGAGGATTTGTCTGGGCCTGCAAGAATTATGACGGAGATGTGCAGTCAGACATTCTGGCTCAGGGTAAAATCTTCAGTTTAATGTACTGTAGTTCTGCAGAACATGGAGATTTCTCTCAATGTTTTGAATGTGAGTTGACTTTGGTCTTTGTGTCCAGGTTTTGGCTCTCTGGGTCTGATGGCATCTGTTCTTGTTTGTCCTGATGGTAAGACTATTGAGGCTGAGGCTGCACACGGCACGGTCACCAGACATTACCGTGAACACCAGAGGGTAAGATCACACCCCTAGAAGTGTATAATTACGTTAGGGGAAACTGGCAAACATCGGTTCTTCTACACTGGAGTATATTTACTACACCAAGACTGGTTCAGTCCATTGTGTAACACTTACACTTGGCTAAATATTTACTGTAGAATTTCATGATGTGTTTTCAGCATCAAAAATAATAGTTTGCTTAATGTAAGATAGTTTTTTTTGTTTTTTTTTTACTTAAATCCCATAGACACCTGGCTAAATGAGTTTAACATTACATGTTTTTTGTAATATCTTCAGAAGAACTATAATGGGCTTTGAAAGTTGAATTGAGCCGTGTTATTAAGCGTAAATATCTTCAGTTCATTCAGACTCAAGCAGACATGTCTCACCATGTTGCACCTTTTTCACTCAGGAAATTAATTCCAGTAAATCATCCTCGTAGAAGATGAAGTCAAAAGCTTCTTCAGTAGACCTGAATGCAAACACATTGAACTTTCAATAACCTGAGCTGTGTCCTTTCTGTGTAGGGACGACCGACCAGCACCAACCCCATTGCCAGTATCTTTGCTTGGACCAGAGGACTGGAGCACAGAGGCAAACTGGATGGAAATCCTGACTTGATAAAGTATTTCCTTATTTAACTTTTTTTTTTTTTTTTTTTTGTTGAAATTTTCCCACCCTTATCATTTATCACTCTCCGTTTTGACCTCCAGGTTCTGCCAGACTTTAGAAAAAGTGTGTGTGGAAACTGTGGAAAACGGTGTGATGACTAAGGACCTTGCAGGCTGCATCCATGGATTGACCAAGTGAGTCTCCTCTATGTTAAGAGTGTGTGGTGCATGTTGTTGTTTTGGTCCTACAATTTATTACAAATTTAACCCCTGCTCTGTGATCCTGTAGCTGCAAGCTGAATGAACATTATGTCAACACGTCAGACTTCCTGGATGCTATCAAGAACAACCTGGACAAGACTCTGAGCAAATGAAAACCAATCAGAAGAGGCACTTACAATGTATAAAGACAAACCCTTTCTGTAGCTAGACTAAACTAGACTTTTCTCCTCTGTTGCCCCCCGGTGGTGGAATGAACAATCAAACCCCATTCCATCTGCAGAGTCCCTCTGCACCTTTAAGAAAAAGCTAGAGTTAGACCCAGCTCTTTCATGAATACCTACTAACTTAATGATGATGACGGTCTGGATATTATTGATGAAGATGGTAATAGTAGACACAATGGTTTTGTTTGATAATGACGATTTTTAAGATGGTTTCTATACTGTTAGAGCTCTCAAGAACTGATGTCAATGTTGTGCTTTGCCTCTGTGCCTGTCAGCACCTGTGTGTCCAATCAGACTCAAAGCTGATCATTTGCACTGACTGACATTGTTTCCTCTTTTCTAGATCCTTGCATTTGTTGTTCTTACTCTCTGATGTACATTGTTTTGGATAAAATCGTCTGCTAAGTGAATTGTAGATTCAAGCTGGTTTTACCCAACTTTTGTATGAATTTGTATCCAGTATTGAATCGACCAAATTAGCTTTATTTGTGGCATATTTGTATATTTGTAGCTTACAGGCACACAGTGCTTGCCTTTCCTGTTGCCATTGGACCAATGCTGTTTTGCACAATCAACAAATTGCATTGTATTAATTGAAATGATAATTTATAATGGCCATTTTTAGAGAAGTTTAAATCATTTATATGTAATTATTAAGTATCTTCAGGGACCAACAGTATGTATATAACAAGGCCATGTTTTGCATTGTCAGCATGATTATTTAAAAATAAGACATTGTGATTTCTGAACACTGTATGGCTTTGATTTTTCTGCTTGGGTGTGATTTTGTTGTTCATCTAAATCAGCAGGCTTAGTTAGTTCTGTCATGAGCTTTGGGCAGGGAAAAAAAAAAACCTCACTCTTTTATTTCAACTGTTCTCACTTCAACACTTAAATTTACCATTATGAAAAGTAAAGTCCTTCTACATGCAGTTTAAATGTATATTTTAATTTCTTGCAGTTGTACACGAGCGTCTGTCTACTAGTGCATTTATGCAATGCGAGTCAAATGTATGCTCCAGTGTATGACAGTGATTACAGTTCGTTTGCACCAGCAGGGGACAAGCTGATGGGAATTTTGGCAAAAGCTCTCTCCTGTAGTGACAACTCAAGTTTATAGCCAGCAGATGTTGACATTGTCTCAGTCTGCAAACCATGCAGTGTACTATTTGAATCACTGCTCAATCTTTGGGACACAATAGTAACTGCAGATAATCAGCGGTGCTCGTCACAGTTTACTTTTAGTGCAGAACAGCTGGGGCTCACTGACGATCGTGTGATTTTAAATTGCCAATGACATGTTACTGGAATGGTCCTTCATGCAGTGCTTCTGTTGATCTAGATCCACATGTGGACAGGCTCCTATCCGGCCTGGGTGGGGATCTTCTTAAAGGCAACCAGAGTATGCACATAGAGAAACCACATCAAAACAGCACTTAGTTTGATAACATCTTGCTGTTCAAACTCACGTCTTGACAGAGGTCAACTTCATAACTGAACCACTCACCAGGGAATATGCTAGTCTCTCTCCTTCTCAGACATTAAGTCAAAGAAAACGAACAAGAAACCTCTATCTAAAATTACCAGAAATTAGCATTTAGATTAGCCCTTTTACCCACTTTTTTTAATTTACTCAACGAGGGACATTTCCACAGAACTGCTTAGTGCCAGAGAACCTCCCACTTTTTATATGTGCAGCCATAAAAGAGCCATATCTGTGAGCAAACTGATCAATCATATGTGAGGAAATGATGGAAGTATAATCCATGCACAGTGCAAATCAAGCGTGAAACAGTGCTAGACCATCTTTATATTCAGTTAGTCGGACCCATGAGTGCACAAAGGTCAAGTTGACTGAGGGTTCAGAAAGACTGCAGACATAACAAAAAACATATAACTCAAGGAGATAACCTTTACAGTAAATATAAAGTCAGATATGTGGTCTGCTTTATTTATCAGTCTTCCTGCAGATGTCACAGAAGGAGGAACTCTTCTGTTATATTCAACAAAAGTCCCATTTTCTCGTCTTCCACATTAACTTTGGGGAGTGTTTAAACTTGCCTGATAGGCTGTAACTAATGAATATACTTAGGTTGTATAACTGAATGTGTTTTTTGAAACAGCATACAGCCTTGTTAGCAAAGTGTTGCTATTAACTCAATGCTAACATAATCATGGTGTGTAATATAATATTTTCTTCATATTAGTTTAGCAGGTTAGCCTGCTAATGTTGGCAAATAACAACAGAAGCATAGCCGAGGCCGATGGGAATGTCATCAGCATTAAAGGCTGGAGTACATCAATGAATCCTGAGTGGGATGTGTGCTGGATGCAAAAATCAATCCAACTGCTTTACAAGGAGGATCACACATCTCCAGCGAGCAGCGACTACAAGCCTCAGAAACTCACAAGACAGAAATGAAGGATCACTTTCATGTGATTTTGATGAGCTGTGAATGATCTCTGTGATTATTTTGCTACACAGTTAACATTTCTTATTTTATTCCTTTGCATGTCATTCTGCCCAAGACCTAATGTTGGTTGAAGAGATGTTACGTTCCAGTGTTTTCTTGTTTGTAGCCAGTTTGGAAAGTCGTCAGTCATTAACCAAAGTTCAATAAATACCTTTTTTTATTTTTACATTTGAGGAAATGTAAAACCATCACCGAAATCATTGCTTCATACTGAGATGTACTAGTGTGGCCACAAATACCTGACTCTGCAGAACATTTTTAAAAAAGCAGTCTTCATCTTTTTAAACTATAGAACCTTTATTAAATAATTCATGGTTCGTTTCCATGAGGTCTCAGTTTGATATTCCTCCTTTCCAAAAAGAACAAGAAGCCCATTCCTCAGATTTAGTGTGCATAACAAGGCTGACCCGCATGGCAGGACAGGGGAAGCTGACCGTCTTCCCCAAACAGAAACATGAAAAGCAGGACAAGTCTACGACGTTGTCAACTTTCAGTTCAATCATTCAGAATGTAAACAGGACCTCCAAGTTATTTATTTTCTTCTTTTAAACTTACAGCTCAGATTTGATCCACATCTCTCTGTTTTATTGTTCTCTCACTGAATTTACTGAACTGGAAGAGAAATGGAAACCGCCCTGTGTTGAAGAGTGTTCAAACTACACACAACAAAAAACCTGAACTGACAATCGTCCATACAAACTGCTCTTCTTCAATTTGCTTTTGAACGGACAGATCTGAATAACAACATGAAGGAAAGTGGTTACAAAAACAAACCTTCTTAGAAAGCATATCTGTTTGTGTTTAATATTATATTGCCTTTATGGGGGCTTGAACGATTCTATCCTATTTCACCCAGATGCAAATGGGTCGACAGAAAGGAAGTCAGGTCTCGATAAAAAAGTGCTTTGTATTTTTCGCTCAGTGATTCCAAAACAAGAGCGGTATGTTTACTACACCAGATCGATGATTGATGTTAGGCTGAACCACGTGGAGCAGAGGTGGGAGGTAAACACACTGCATGTTGAAGAATCCTTTGTACAGTGAAAAGGTTTTACATGTCAGTAACATTGTTTTGAAACTTTGTTTTTTAGATATTAGCTAACATTTGACAGATTGTAAGTGCCCCATCAATAATAAGGCTACAATGTCCTGTGCTTAAAAGCACATGCATATTGAAGGAAGTCTGTTCAAAACTGAGGACTGGGCAGGAAGGAGTTACTACAATTAGAAACTGTTTAGTAAGAGCATTCAAACCTATGAATATGTTGTGACCATGTATCAAAAGTTCGATATACAGTGAGTAAATAGCCGACACAGTAAAAACTTTGTTGCAAATGTTTCTAGCTGGCACTTTCAGTCAAAAAGAAAAAGGGCATACATTGGTTGTGAATGATAAAATGGCAAAATGGTAAACACATTTTTATCACATCAAATGTAACTGATGTTTTTTTTTCTTCTTCAAAATAACTGATACAGACGCACAACATTAAGATTCGACTGTCCGCCAGTGAGAGTCTTTGAGTCGGCAAGCGCACTAATCCCAAAAAAGGAGCTCAAGAAGTCAAGAGTTTCAGTGTCCGCTGCTATCAGCACCAGAGCTGAAACGTCTCCTTAGAAGAAGAGCGTCTCCTTCCTGGCTTCCCATCAGAGTCCAGTAGTTCTGGCTCTTCTGGAAGGAGGCCAAAAACTAAAAGAAAATCTCCCCCCCCCCAACCCCCAGTGTCTCTCAAAGCCTTCACAACAACTCTGTAATTTCCTTCTGCCTTTAAAATGATAACAATAAAAAAAAAACACTCTGGTCCCATCACTTCTCAGGGGGTACTGTAGCTGCTTGTATCCTTCCCAAAATTGTAATATTCCTCCATGTCCTCCATGTTTGCTGTGGTGAGTTTGGTGAGGTTTTGGGAGCCACCATTGTTCATATTGTCTGGTGATGTAAAGCTGAAGTTCTGTCCTTCATACTCCCCTTGGCTCTCCATCTCTGGAAGAACTTCTGAAATATATTTTTAGAAAGAAAACATTAAAGAGTATATTTCAAACTTCTTCCTCAGTTATTAGCATCCCCCTTCTTGAAAGAAAATCCTGTTCAAAAAATGCTTTATTGTGCTAATGTTATAAAACATCATGTTTTTAATTTCAGATTATTTTACAACAAAACATCTGAAATGAGTTGTTCAAAGTACTTCTCTGTCCCATTAGGTATTTATTGTAGAAAGTGTTTTAAAGGCTTCGTTCATAGTATGTATAATGAATAAAACACAACGTATGGATGAAGTTTGTTCAGATTTGATTGACAGACATTCTGATTTAAGTATTTCTAAATTCTACATGAGATAAAAAACACTACATAATATTCCAATAGGGAAAAAACATGAATAATTGGTTTGATTGTTGCATGTTAAAAATATATAAATGTCAAACACTATTTGTTCCTTTCTGAAAACAGATTTTGTAATATTCAGGCTGGGTTACAGCATATTGATTATTGCCTCAATTAAGGAGCACAAACCCAAGCTGCCATGACACCTGGATATGAATGTGAGGTTGAACATGATGGCAGAAGAGGAAACTCATTCAGCACACCTTCTCTGTAGTTGTTAAAGGAAAGTACACAGTAACATGTCGGGCCTCACCATGTCCTTCCGGTGAGACATCCATCCCGTGTTTGACCTTCATGTGTCTGCTCAGGTTTCCTTTCAGGTTGAACTTACTCGTGCAGTAAGGACACTTGAAGGGCTTACTGCCAGCATGGAGATGCATGTGGCCCAGCAGGTTGTACATTCTGTTGAAAGACTTGCCACAAACCTGGAAAAAAAGACAAGTACCGGTATTTAAATTGATGAACGTGTAACCTATAAAAACTAGTTGTACAGACAAATGTTGATTATTATGATTTAACTGTTCTGTCTGATACAACCTTTGAGAGATTCTTAAACTGTAACTTTGTCCATTTCATTGTGGCAAACCACACAAATCAAAGCTTATAACGATGTGATACGCCCATCAGAACTGCTTCCTGTCAGCATATTTCCTCTTATCCCCCCTTTTATATTCTCTTCAAATAATCCTGTTACACTACCATGACCAGAGATTTAAAATGTGTTACCCCTTTTTGCACCAAAATGTATCTTCCAGTTGCAACCATCAACCCAAAATGAAATGTTACATATAATTCATGAAGTTCAGTCACCTTGCATTTGAAGGGTTTCACAGGCAGGTGGACGATCATGTGGGTCTTGAGGGTCTGCTTCTGGATGAAGCTCTTGAAGCAGACGTGACACTGGAAGGGTCTGACACTGTTGTGGATTAGCATGTGCCTCTTCAGGTTGGCAGACAAGGTGAACTCCCGGGAACACACGTCACACTTGTGGCCTTTCATTCCCTAAAGAGGGCCAGATAAAAGCATAGGCTTAATCATTTCATCATCACTTTTCTCCTTGTGTGACTGATAAAAGAAAAACGAAGGCGCACATTATTAAAGTAGCACATTTTGTAGTTTGATTTTTTGGATGGCTGTATTGGTTTGAGATTGCTAGATGTCTCCAGTCTTACATTGGACAAATACAACAGTGCAATATGTTACGTTGGCCATATCGCTTAGGCACAAACATTTTGATATGATCTGTTTTTCCTAAAATGTTCTGAGTGGCTTATATTTTTGCTGCGACCTCTAACAACATCTAACAACAAGATTCTGCATCCAATTTTCAAATAAGAAAATGCATCTCAAATTTGCTTCGGTGGTTATCTATTCATTGGATTTTTAGGACAAAGTTCAGTTGTACTCTTGCGACGACGACCTTTTACTAAGCCCCTAGACACAGCATCGCTGAGTGGGGAGGTGCTATTGGTCTTCCACTACGTGGTGGGAGGGCTAACAGTTAGAGAGGGAGGGGTTCACACGAAAAAACAAACAAACACTTGATGAAACATGTTTGATCCTCTGAGTGACACAGAAACAAGCTATGGAAGATTCGTCCAGTCAGTGTGAACACAAAGGTGAGAAAAACAAAGCCATGAAAATTTAACTTCACTCTATTCTATAAGAGTAGAAAATTCAGAATGTTACATATTATACCTTAAAGATTTAGAAAAAGACAATTACAACAGGTAAAAAAAACAACAACAAAAAATGTGTTAATTTAATTTCTAACACTCATATAGTAACACTAAATCAGGTGAGGCTATTAGCCGAGATGCAGCTAACATTAGCTCAGCTTGTTTCTTTAGGTCAGGACTCCTATAGGCAACTGAACCAGGTCATAATATAACCAAAGAAATCAAATAGAATACATACTGGGTTCATAGTATAGCATTTGAAATGATAGCAATAGTATGTTTTTAAAGATCAAAAGTATCAAAGTGGTGCTCGGTATGGGGAAATACTTAACCCTAGGTCATACTGTAACTTTTAAAATATTAAAGAAACTTATTTTGGGACTTTCCCTTTCCAGTGTTGTCATTATCAGTATGTCCATTACAATTATCCATCTCTTTAGCCACAATGAAAATCACGGAAATAGAAAGCACGTGTTGACTCCAGAACTTGCCCGATAATAATCACATTTTTAAGTTTTCTTCAGTCATAGGCAATTGATTTCTTTCAAACATCCACAAGTACAAGAGAAACAGAACCAGCAAACTGTGCCAACTGAGTGGTGTCACTTTCCCTAAATGTAAACAACTACAGGAAGAACATCATGGCTCATGCTATGACCCCCCATGTAACTTTCTGAATCCATGGATGTTTTATTTATGGAGCACTTGCTACAAATCCCTGGCTTGATTTTGGTGCTGCAGTAAAAGCCTCATCAAGTTTTATTCACAAGTACAAAAATAATAAACTGACGTCAAACAGAACAGCTCGTCTGCCTATAGCAGCAGTTATCATATCATGTCATGTAAATATAGTACAAGGACTGTGTGCTATGATGACAATGCAAGGTTTTTTTCAAGGAAGATGTTGGTGGCAGTTCTGTCAAACATCTGATCCAATGATATTCACATCCTGCTTGTAAGATGTTACTCATTTGTTTGCAAAACCCACAGCAGCCAATGAAGGTATCCAAGAGGTTACGCTTTCACTGCAAAAACTTATAATAAATGGATAGAAGTACTCTCTACCATCTATATTCTGCTCTTCTAGTATTCTCCAGCACATGCGACGGGAAGTGTACAAACATTGAGAAGCAGGTCACAAGAGCAGACGATTCACTCCAGCTCAGGCCTTGAGGCTCGTCTGAGTGAATATGCTGCTGCTGCAGCACACGCGCCACTCTGCAGTTAATAACAGCGGACACAAAGTGGGCCTGCATAACTGGATGGTGGGTTATTGAGAAGAACAAATAAGTATTACAGGTCACTGGTCTGTCAGCAGTCAGTGTTTGTGTAAGCAGACAAATCTGGCAGACTGTCAGTCCTCCCACTGTCTGCTAAACAAATGGACTGTTAGTGGTGTCCACCAGAGGGAGCAGTGAGCAGACAGCAGCATGCTACAACACAAGCCACAATGGAGAATTCCAGCTGTTCTTCCATTCGGGATGATTGGAGTGGATTAGGAATTGTGTTCCCTTTAGAGTAATCAAATTAAGGTCAATCCTTAAGAATTCAACCTTTTTAATTTTTAACGGTGACTTTTTTTTTTTGGAAACTTGTAGAAATGTTCGATCTGATCAACCCTTTTCTCTCTTTACATGAAGAGTGCAGATTCAGGAAAATACAGAGATGTGATGGGACGCAGTTTTTAAAATTACATTAATAGTTAAGAGCTCAAACTGTGAAAGAATTAAGGGAGATGTGATTCTGTGGGTTTTATCAAATGGATTGTGATCTCCCAGTGTCCTCATCTATCGCTTCCTCACGTGTGCATGAGAGTAATGGCGTGTGTGTTAGTGTGTGTGTGTAGAACAGGCAGGGGGCACAGAGCAATTACAGACAGTTCAGTCAGACGAGGACTTCTGCGAGGGCATGCAGATGCTCGGTATAGTGAAGGTAAAAAAAAAATCTAATCTTTTTGTAACGCAGATATTGTACTGGTCATTTCCTCTATTGTTTCAACCCATTTTAGGTTACACTTGTTTGAACAGTAGGGATCGAGAAATTAGTTATATAAGCTGTTACAATGACGAGGTTGTTACATCATAAAGGAATGTTATTGCTGATAGGAAATTATCTTGTTACAGAACTATGATTTGTTACGTGAATAACCTCTTAAGACTCGATGTCCACAGAACAAACATCCTGGGGCTATATTGAACAGTGAAAAAGAGGCACATAATCTGATCCAGACTTGTAAGCACTGCAATGACAAAAGTCTTGAATGGACCAAAGCTGTCAAAGTTGACAAAATCCGTATTTTTTCCATATAACTTCATAAGGATTCAGTGTAGATGCATTGTAGTCTTATTTATAATGTGACATTTATCGGTTTTTACTTCCTCGCCAATGTGGGAAATGAACACACAAAAAGGTCTGTAAGGGTCTGGAGTGGATGGATGGAGGATGAGTGCTCTTACCTGTCTACTTCACCCGGTTCTCTGTGTGTAAATAAAAAAGGATGAACTGGGGTGAGGCCTTTGAACAACAGATGTGGTAGCCTCACTTTGGTGATCCAAGAGTGCCTCTTTTTGTGCGTGTGTGTGTCTGTTTGCTTTCTCTCTTGGCTATCACTTTCTCTGACATGATAGAAGAATAGCCCCCACCAGTCTAATCTACACAGGTTACATGTACGGTGAAGAGATCGGGCGGCGGTGTTTGTACCTTATGAGTGAGCGAGTGCTGACGGAGATGGTGAAGCTGCACAAACTCCAGGCCACACTGGGAGCAGGTGTAAGGCCTCGGGCTCTGGTGCTTCAGCAGGTGGTTCTGGAGCTGGCTGCGGTAAGCAAACGACTTATTGCACTCGGTGCACTGGAAGGTGTGGGGGCCCTGGTGGCTGGTCTGGTGGCGCTTGAGGTGGGCGTAAGTGGGGAACTCCATGCCGCACTGCGAGCAGACATGACATCGTCCTCGCTCGTGCTTCACCTCGTGCGCCCGCAGCTCGCTGGGGTAGGCGAAGCCGCGGCGGCAGAAGCGGCAGCTGTAGGGCTTGACGTCGGTGTGTTGGAGCATGTGTCTCTTCAGGTGGCTCGTCTGGGTGAAGCCCTTCTTGCAGACGGTGCACTTGTGAGGGCGAGTACCTTGGTGGGTCAGCAGATGGGTTTGAAGGTGGCTTGGCTGCTTGAAGAGCTTCCCACAGTGTGGACAAGCATGAGGTTTGATGCCGTTGTGGCCCAGGATGTGCGTGACCAGGTTGTACTTGGAGGTGTAAGACTTATCACACATGCGGCACTTCCAGCGCTTCAGACCGTCTCCCACATCCACACAGTACGATTCATCGATCTGAATGTTGATGTCCAGCCGGTCAACTCTGCGGCCACCGTGCCGCCGAGGAGGCTGCGGGTGCGGAGGCTGCTGGTGCTGCCCTCCTCCGCTCCCATCGTTCCACATCATGCTCTGGCTGCTGTCTTCGTACTCGCCCCCCATGCCCATCTCCCCCGAATCGTAGCTGCCGACCTCGCTCGTCTGGAAGTAGCTGCTGATGGCCTCATCCTGCTGCGAGGGCTTCATCATGCTGTTCCCCTGGTGCTCCACGTTTTCTTCATCCTCTCTGCCGCCTCGGCCATGGGCCACCATTGGACGCTGGGCCTGCAGTCCTCTGTGACCCTGCTCTCCTCCTCTGTGGCCCACCTGAGGGGGAGGAGGGTGAACATGTGTGTTGGCTTGCTGCTGGTTGGAGGCTTCGCGCTCACACTCTACACAGTTCTTGTTAGTGCCTCTGAGGGTGGCAGGATCCACCTGTACTAATCCACCTCGGGGAGCCATATTGTTCAGCATGTGGACACAGGAGGGCATTCCAGAGTTCACAACTTCCCCTTTAACATGGGACGATGGCACGTCACCGCCCTGGAGACTGATGCGGTCAGGGACGACCATTTTTGCGTCAGGATGTTGAGGCGGCCCCTGTTGCCACCTCCTCTGGCTGCAGCTGGGTTGCATCTGTCCGTCTTCTCCTAAGTTGTCTCCAAGGTAGTCTCCGTTGGCTCCGATAAGCTGGTCTGCGTACTCGTAGTCGACTCCGTCTACTGGTGGTGCAGGGGACTCTTTGGGTTCGCCGGTGTAGAAGCCGTTGGGTGCAATAGTAGCTCCGAACACTTCATTCTGGGAGATGAGACCTAGCACGGCAGCCTGGGCCAAGGACAGCACGACTACAGGATCTGTTTGTGTGCCTATGTCCACCAGCCTGGCCATTACCTTGGGCTCACATCTACCCAGGCGCCGGCTCGCCTCCTCCTGGAACAGAGACAAAAGGGGACAGGGAGGTTAACCCATTAGCACGACAAGGAAGCATTTAAACATCTGATTATAGAAATATAGTCAGTAATGGCATTTTTATGACCGATTCTACAAAACAGTTTGTTGGTAAAACAAATAAAAGCGGGCGCTTTTTCTCTGTCATCAGTTATAGCAAAGGTATGTTTTGCTGTTTCAGACAATTTCTGAAATCCATCATTAGATGAAAACCGGGTTGAGATGCTAAAAAACAACAAACGAGAACACATCAGAAGCAGCCAGTAAATTAAAAAAAGTGATGACAATAATTTCCAGAGCTAAGTGTTGCATACTGTCCTCCATTGTGAATATGTCCATCAAAAGTGACCCAATAAGGAAAAGAAGCTGCCTCGGCTCATCGTCCAATCAGAATGTCTCTTGGAGAGACTTTGATTGGCTTAAAGTGGCTTTTGATATATCACTGAAATACTAAACATGAACACTTTACGTGAACATTTTCCCCGACCAAGACCAACTTTGTCACAAATCAACAAAAAAGGTTACCAGAATAAAAACTGTCCGAAGAAAACCTTCAGTCCCAGTGAGTGACAGAGAACTGTGAAAGACACTTTCTAATCCAGAGTGCTAACCATGTATGGTTTGCTTGTGTGTGTGTATGTGTGTGTGTGTTAGGGGATTAGATGGCCTACTGATCAACACACAGACACACACAGACACACACACACACAGACACACACACACACACACACACACACAGACAGACACAGTCACAGGAAAAAGACAGGAAAAGGAGGAAGAAAGAACTGAGCAAGATTAAGAAATGAAAAAGAATGAAAAAGCAGGAGACAAAAACAGAGGAGAGACAAGAGAGAACAGAGGGGGGAGAGAGGAAAAAGCAGAGGGAGGGAGGGGAGCGGGAGAAAGAGCTTAGAGCAGGCATGAGTAGTGGAGGGGAGGGGGGAGAGAAGAAAAAGAGAAAATGAAAGGTAGGGAGAGAGAGAAAAAGAGATATGGAGACAAGGGGGGAGGGATGAGAGAGGGAGGGGGGCACAGAGAGAGAGAGAGAGAGAGATAGAGAGATAGAGAGGGAGGGAGGGAAGGGAGAGCAGAGTGAGAGAGTGAGAGGGTGAGTGTGAGGCAGCAGTCAAAAGAGAGCAAGAGGAAGAAAGAAAGAAAGATATGAGGAGACAGAGAGAGGGAGGGAGGGAGGGAGAGGAGGGAGGGAGAGGCAGTGAGCAACCAGGAGACAGAAGGAGAAAGAAAATGACAAAATGAAAGCCAGACAGGAAGATAAAGACTGAGAAGTGAAAGAGGCAGGCAGGAGAAAAGAGGGAGGAAGTAAGAGTTGAGAAAAGCTCAAAAAGAGGCAATAATAATTTAATGAAATCAAACAATTAAATCTGCAAACATCAACTTGAAACGAAGAACATCCACAGAGCATTAACCCATTTTCAAAGACATTTTCTAGCTGTACTTGGTCATCACCACCTCAATAAAGTCGCTCTTTAAATGCTAAGATAAAACTCACCACGCTCCTCCTGCTGTGAGGTTTCAGGTGCTTTAAGGATCTCATTCTTTAGTGCAAGTGTGGAGTGAGAACAGGCTCTGTTCGCCTCCTATTTATACGCGAGGGATGAGAGGGGGCGGGGCTTACACTGCCTGCCTCCATCCCTCTTCTTCTTCCTTTTCCACACAGTTTTGTTAGTGACACCAGCTAAAATAAACAAATAGTCCTCCAACAAATGAGCATGTGCTACCAGTAGGTTTTTAAAAACAAACAGCTAAAAGGAATTTGTACAAAGCTGGGCTTAAAGTTGCGCACACACACACACACACACACACACACACACACACCAACAACAAATAAAATAAAATCCTATCAGGCTGAAATTATGGATCCATGGGGCTACCTCTCTCGCCTCCCCTTCTCTCATCATTCCGTCCATCATTCTCTTTCATTGCCTCTCTATCTATTTATTCCTCAATCTATTTCTTAGTCCCTTTCTGTTTCCTCCACCCGCCCCCCGTTTTCTTTTTTTCTCACTCTCTCATTTATCAAGCAGGGTTTATGAGTAGGGAAAAGTGTTGGAAGATTGTTTGGTGCACAGACTTGGGAGGAGAAGTGTCTGATAGGAGAGAGGGAGAAACAAGAGAGGGAGAGAAAGGTGACTGACAAGAAGATGAGCGAATGGAGGGAGAGAGAGAGAGAGAGAGAGAGAGAGAGAGAGAGAGAGAGCGAGAGAGAAAATGGAGAAAAAGAAGGAGGAGGAGGGAGTGGAAGGAGAGAGTACTGACGGAAAAGAGAGGGGAGGGGTAGAGGGGAGAGACAGAGAGAGAGAAAGAGAGAGAGAAAAGAGAGAGAAAAGAGAGAGAGAGATGGAGGGGGATGGGATGAGTAGAGCAGAATGCGGTAAAAGAATAAGAAAAAGAAATGGAAGATGGATGGAGGGAGGGAAGAAGCAGATGAAATGAGTTAGGGGAGGGAATAAAAGGTATGCTGCTGATCATATTGATGCATCAAACCGGCCCAAGTCTCCTTCTCTCTCTCTTCATCTCAATCACACACACACACACACACACACACACACACACACAAATTAAGTTTGCTGATTGACAGCTCAGGAAACATGGAGGTTCCAGTGTGAGGGACTTTCATCTCTCTTCACGTCATCTCACGACCAGAGCACACACCCTTAGTAAAATTACTGAGATGAGATAACTGTTGAGCTGTGAGATGATGCCAACAGTGACCCGCGAGTCCACAAAGGTCATGCCCGTCCTGCCAAGGATGAAACAGAGACGACACAAAAAGCTCCAAATAACCGAGCCGCAAACTACGTGGACAAATGGTAAAATGGGAGTTAAGATAGACCGACAGTTCCTTCACGGAATGATTTAAAGTATGAAACACACAAATCTTACATTTCATCAAAGTTAAACACTTCTGATGAGGTCTGTTCATATGAGACACTGTGAGAGGACGGAAACAGAAAAAAACAAAGATGCAATTCATTATAAAGCTGGAGTTTCTTCAGACAATGTAAAGCTAGAAAAAGTAAACTGTCTATTTTAACAGTAGATGATGATGAGCTTATTAACCTGTTAGAGTCTGTTCCCTCTACATGTTGTGTACACTCATTTCCACAGCCATCTTTTCTGTGGATCTGTTCTGAGCACTCTTATGTCACAGAACACAACTGTTCAAACACCATGAGCTCACTTCTCTCAGTACAATGTGAAGCACCGCTTTGTGTTCACTATCAGCTCGCTCATTTACCATTAAGCCTCCTGTGGACAGGTGGTGAGAACTAGCATGTATGCTAAAACACTTAAACAATGCATCTGTCCAATGTGACTGTGATGTCATGTCCAATAAAGTCTAAATAATAAAAGTAGGAATTGAGAGTAAATCCTTGATTGTGCATGAAATGCTGGGAAAAAATGTTGAAAAAATTAATGTTTTTTTTTTTTTATCCTGATGCTACAACCCAACTCCTCTCTTCTCAATCACAACACAGGTCATCACGTAACCTCCTCAGTGAGATGTCGTCATTCAAATCAGATTTAACATCATTAAACAATATTACTGGCTTGGAAATCACACTATACTCAGTCTGCTTTTAAAATGAATCTATTTTGCATAGTTCACCTTCTTTGATGTGTATGTCTATTTATATTAATATTTGCATTGTATACTATGTATTCTATATGTATGGTACTTTATAAATACAGGTATAACAGCTGCTGCTGGTCTGTTTTTACACTTCTTTGCCGCTTTGTTTCTCTTGATCTACAAACTATGTTTCTCTTCATTCTCAAATGTCTTATGCAGCATCACAGCCCCCCTCACAGTGCACCTGAATACGGCTGAAATGACAGTAAGGAAAACTAAAAACTTTAAATTCCTTTCTCTTTATTTGATCCTGATCTTAACTTAATCAAACTTCTGATTTCCCGTAGTAGAAAGTTTGGGATGTTGTCAAACTGATCAAACATTTTCCATTTGCAGGGAACTAAAGCGACCAACTCAGCTTCACTACATGCAAAGAGTGCGTGACATCAAGTTTTCAGCTACAAGAAAAGACGTTCTGTCTTGTCCAATTGCCAATCTCAGCATTACGGAGTTATAAAATGTTTGAGGACACTTTTAAAAATGAGATACATTAAACCCAATGGGTGTAAAACACACTTAAGAGATCCATCTACCTCTGCTTTCTGTAATCAACAGAACAAACATCCCAGATGGTGATCATATTTAAGATGCTGAGGTGGGATGACAGTGCCTGACATGGTTTGGACAGGGTTGACTCCTATCTATCAACCCCTGCCACTTCCTGGTTTGGTGGGGATCATCTGAGGGGACCGCCATGCGGCCCTGTACTCCTGTCAGGAGTCAGGTTAATTTAAAGCACATAGTGGTATATATCAGGGCATTAAAACATCCATTTAATGTATGGATTCATCACTGGACCCTTCAAGGCCAACAATTCTGAAAATCTCTCAATATCAATTAAGTAGATAATTTAGCCAGGTCTTGCAAATCTAAAGTTAAGCTTCCTATGACATGTCAAAAAGGGTTTTTGTATTAAAATATGTTTCTATTTGCCAAAGTTGTGTACCGTAAAAAAGTGTTGATATCCATAATGAAACGCAGCATGGTAAAACTGTTGTACAGTCCTTCACACTGAGTTTCATTACAGATATCAACATTTTTTACAGTACACAACTTTGGAAAATAGAAATGTATTTTTATAAAACAGCCGAAATGCAATGTGAATTCACAGACTGGGACACCAATGTTATGACGTCACAGAATCAATATGAATGTACAAAGACGTGATGATGGCTGAGCTTAGATACTGAAAAGAGTTATAGACGTAGGTGTCAACTAATTCAACAATATTTGGGTTGTTTCAGTTATTCTTTAAGCACAATTATCAACTGTTTGATGATTTGGTTTGTATAATGATTTGTAGTCTTGGGCCTTTGAGGTTTGGACT